CAGAATGGACCCAATTCAGTTTCTCTAAACAGATTAGGAAATATATTTCTTTTAAATCTAGAACCATTCTTATTAGTCAGGAGTCTATTTATAAAGAGTAATATTAGGACTTTATTCACAGTTCAAAATTTCTTTAAGTATTAAGTGCTGTATTAGGATTCTCTAATCTAGTTAGATTAAGATTTTAATTTAAGCACTATTTAAAAAAAAAATTAATTTAAGCAGTTACTTTTGAGATAACACTTCAGTGAGTAACTTATCATGACTTTTCTTGATAACTTATCTGCAGATGCAATCAATCAATACGATATTTAAGAATCTCTTCTTTACCCGAAGTATTGATCTGTGCCACTTCTAGTTTACCTCAAATCCTTAAGTTGGCAAAATAACTTACTTTACCCTACATCAGATAAGTTACTTTACCCTTATATCAGGTGGCTTTTAGGAGAACAGGTGTTGTGGTGAAAATCTTTCGGGTTCACTACTTCAATATTCTCTTCGACCAAGGGGAAGGAAGTGGAGGTTAGTGAAGTTGTAAGATTAACTTTACAGACAATTCAGTCCTCGAACATCTAATTTTCTGAAACTTCAATGATTAGGGAGATGATGGAGTACAGAGATCTTATAAGCCACATGGCTGCTGGGACCACATATGGCTGCTGGAACAGTATTGTTATTACTTTATCTAGTTTAATTTAATGGAAAAATAAGCATTAAGATAAGTGCAAAAGCAGTTTCTAGATGTGAGGATAGTTACTTTCAACAGGTAAGTCATGATCAATTTATTCTTGGTAGCAATTGTGTTTTCTTGTATAAAAACAGAACAGCAATCTGAATTAAAGGATAAGCAAAAAATTATTGATAAATTTCTTGAGTACTTTAAACTCTACGAGAACTTTGGGTTCTTTTAACGGCTCATACTGTTAATCAAAGTCCGATAACAAAAACTTAATGAGGGAACACAGATGGCTTTTTTGACTACGTGTCAGGTGCTTAATTCAAGGGATGACTGCCCTGCATGGTCCATTGACAAAGTATGTTCTTGGTGCCCCTGCCACCGCCCAAAAAAACTCAAATGCCTTTTTTTTTTTTCTGTGCGGAAGCTGCTGCTTGGGCCAGCATTCTCACAATGGACAAACCTAAGTACAACAAGAAACACCATCATCAATGCTGCCCTCTGCCCCAACCATCTACTTCTTTGATGTTCAGCGGCTACTGTGGGATTCTGCATTAAGTCTTCTCAATCCATCTTAGGTTGTTTCCAGATGGGTCGCAACAAGCCTTGGTGGTGATTTAGAGTTTGTAGTTATTGGTAAATATAGGAGAAACCTTTGTACTTTCATTCCCATGTTCATTTTTTGGTCATTTGGAAAGAGAGAAAGGTGAGTTTTTGAAGACATTCATTCTCCTTTTGCTATAAACAAACAAGGTTCCACTCCCTAAGCATTTTGTTGACAAAGAATTCAATCATTCATGTGAGAACCTGGGGAACCTGATTGATTTTTAACTTCTGAAATTCTGGTAGTACCACTTTGTTGCCTCTTGATGATGTTTCTTTTTCTCTCAAAAAGATTAAAAACAGTAGTTTAAACTAAAAAATGAAGTTTAATGTCAACTCTATAAAGAAAAGACTACAAAGAGCTAGCTTGCGTAAACAAAGAAGGGAAGAAAGACGAATGTGCATAGCCCTAATACAGAGGTGATGCTCATAGAATTAACAAAATTCAAAAATTACCTCCATTCTTCAATGCTCACATGCCATCAATAATTTCATGGAAAGTAAATAATCTCAACACATTGCCATGATATATGATTATGTTCAAG